GAGACTGGCGAAACGTCAGGAAGAATAACCTTCAGAACACGGCCAAAGAGCCCGAAAAACTCACAACAACCATTAGATCCTGGCCGTGAAAGCCATCGCGAAAACATAGCTTTTGCTTCACCATCGTATAGGGAGGGAAAGACTGGAAGAATGTGTTCAAAAAGCTCATTCCCTTTGAAAGGGGAGTGCAGTGCCCCAGAGGATCAAAACAAATGCCTGGACCTCATTAAATAAGAAATGAAATTGGGAACATATAAGCAGGAGAGAGGAAAAGAGGAGCCATGGAATTGTTCATTTCATTTAGTATTCATTTGTTCCATCCCAAGAAGCTGAAGGCATCAGAACAAACAGGTTTCATTCCCCTAAGCTAAACGTCTTGTTATTCCCTGGCAGCTGGGGATACAGAATGGGCTGACAGCTCCTAGGACACTTGTACCCTCCAGATGACAAGAGTTTCTATATCATTATTCTACAAAGGTCTATTCATTTGGCCTGGAGCCTTGCTGGCAATACACCTTGCAGGATGTTTACTCTACCGCTCGCTGAAGCCTAACACAATGAAGGTTGTTTTTATTCATCACAGTAGTCCATAACTGCAGCAGTATTTCCTCTACGACGGCCATCATTCCCACTCCGGCGCACCATCATATTTTGTCCATCCCGAAGAATCCCTCTTTTACCAGCGAAAAAACTTAGACAAAAATTAACATCATTGTAATTGTGGGCCATCAAATTGTTTCTGATTTAATAGCGACCCTCCTGGGAATGTCTAGGTATAAAGTACAGTGGTGCCTCGAAAGACGGGCGCTCCATTTAACGACGAATCCGCATTACAACAAGGTTTTTGCGATTGCAGAAGCGATCACAAAACAATGTTTTGAATGGGGGAATTTCACTGCGCAATGATCGGTTCCATGTTTCCGGAACCGATTTTCGCTTCCTGACAATCAAAACAGCTGATCGCCAGGTTTTCAAAATGGCTGCCAGGTGCGCAAAATGGCCCCCCGCTGTGTTTAGGAGCCATATTTCGCTGCACAGGCACCCAAAAATGGCTGCCCCTATGGAGGATCTTCGCTGGACGGTGAGTTCTTAGCCGATTGGAATGCATTAACCAGGTTTTAATGCATTTCAATGGCTTTTTAATTTTCGCTTTATGATGTTTTCATTCTACAGCGATTTTGGTGGAACGAATTAACATCGTAATGCGAGGCACCACTGTATTCAGAAGTGGTTTACCTGTCCTTCCTCATGATGGTACTTTGGATTGTGCAGCTTGCGTAAAGTCTGGCAGGTGGCAGGGTGTATAACCCCAAGAATCACATACAGCCAGGTGATCCTGGGCCAGTTCTTTTCCTTGGAGGCACAGAGGTTACTCAAACTCCAGCATTTCATGTCTGCAGCCCCACTGAGCTATAACCAGCTCTAGGCATGTAGTAATACTTTGAATTTCCCACACATTCCTAGGGACCTATCATGCAGCAATACATTCTGGTAAAAGCAGCCTACCTGTGGCGTTGGAAAGAGCAAGAGATTCCATTGAACCCCTTGGCGTCTGCTCCGTGGGCGTCAACTCCTCAGTGAATTTCAGCGCACTAATCGGATGGCGGGTTCGACAATGTTGTGTAGACATACTGCTGTCTTCCTCCTGGTCATACTTGGAGACCTTGTAACTCCCTCTGCTTTCACTGAAGCTCTGGTTAGACACGTCGCTGTAACTCTCTTGGGATGGTAGCCTTCCTCCTGAGTAATAATCTTCTCGGCATTCCTGGATGAAGCTGCCACTGCGTCCTTTCATGGCTAGGGAGGAACTCCTCTTTGGGTTGCTGAAATGTTTACCCCACATCTCCTGCTGGGCACTTGGGCTCTGCCCTGGATTGTAGGAAGTCCTTATGTTGCACTGGCTGAGCAACTGGAGAGGGCTTTGTGACTGACTTTGCTCCATTTTGTTCCCGTAGTGATAGAGTTCGTCTCTGCTTCTCCAGATGTGGTCCCTGTTCAAACTCGGGGTTTGGCTGGATAAGCTGAGCAAGTCCATCTGTAAGGAGAGTGGGTCCACATCGGTCGAGAGCCTGCTAGAGGTCACCTGCAGTTGGCTATTTGGGCTGGCGGCGTTCTCTTCTCCTTTGTTCCTGTTCTTGCCGATCTTGGCACTGCGCCGCGATTCTTTGGCCCTGGCGCTTTGAAAGGCAGAGTCAGATGAATCTGAGCCGTTCGGGTCGTCTCCTACACTGCAGGCTCTGGAGCAGAAGATCTGCCCTTGCTTTGGCAAGAATGGTCGTCCAAGCAGAGATTTCTTGCACTGGGCGCAACAAAAGCAAGTCTCTGTGGCATGCCAGTGCTGGCCGTCGTAAGTCATCTGGCCCTGATCAATGCCTTCGGAAAAGGGAGAGAGATGCTTTTAAGTGTCATGTGCCATAGTTCGTCGGTATACAATAATAAACATTTAGGACCAAGCAAGGCATAGCCCGAAACATACTTTTGGCCCATATGTTCATAAGTAATCTTAGAACTGCAAAGCTAGACGGGATCCTACAGTATGGATCATTAAATCCAGCCCCTGTCAAGGAGGCAGAATGGGGTATGGAACTCCCAACCCGATGTACAGTACCTAAACCAATGAGCTATTTTACATCTGCTGAACACCAGCTATGCTGAAATCTGGATTGGAAGTATAGCAGCATCCCAAGACAGTGAGTGGCATACGTAGAGTATATTTAACTGTTTGGGGCAAATGGGCTCCTGAGCTGGAGCCCATGCCAACTTTCTTTCCTGGCCCAGGCTATATGAACAGCAGCCGCAGGACTGTGATGGGACAAGGGGCTGTACTTTTTCTTCCGTTGCCCATTGCTGCTGTTCCGTAAACTGAGAACACAATGGCCACATACATGAGCACTGTTCAAACATTCAGGATAGGGTTAATCTGAATGTGGGAACAGAGGGAGCTCCGCCTCTCTCTCTCCTTGTGCTCTAAAGCAAAATCTGAAAGAATGCGGAAAGCAAACAGCCATGGCAACCGGGCAGATTTTAAAAATAGATTGCCCAATACACAATCAGGTACTACTGTACGTCCTATTTTTACACTCTGGGTTTTCTTCTTTTTTAGAAGTAGGTCATTAGTCTTAGTTATTGCAGGGGGATTGGAAATTTGATTTTTTAAAAAATTATTAATTTATTTTTGTTCCTTTATAATTTCTTAGCAGTTCCATCTGGAAGTAACTTATCCTTTCTGTCAGAAGGGATAAGTATGGGGTCTTCTTTTGTCAGGGGTCACCAAAATTTTTGCTCAGTACAAGAGCTAGTCACTTCTTTTCCTTTATTGTAATACATTAAGGCTCACAGTAAGGGTGTGATCTGGGCTACCCCTTGAGCCACATATGGGAGACTATGCCCCTGCAGATTTTTTTTATTTTTATTTGAATGCTTGATATCTCAGCCAGCATGGTCGCAGGAAAGAATTGTGGAATTCTGAAGTCCAGAGATGTCCCACCCCTGCCTTTAACCTTGAGACAGGAAGGCAGCTAAGGGGGAGAGGTAGCAGCACGGGGCTGTCATGTGCCAAGCGGTGCACATGGGAGAGAAATATGTGGAGAAAGAATGGCTACTCCATTCCCTTACTACCCTCCCCATTCCTTGGGAAACTGTAAGACTCCATAATGCCTCAAACAAATTGCATTTTTGACAAAAACTAAACTAAAATAGGAGATCAAATATTGCAATCAAAATTCTTGTCAGATGAAACAAAACAAACAAGAGAGACAGAAAAATTGTGACCCCTCAAAACTAGCTGCCATATTTTAATGCAAACTTTCATGGGCCAATGTATTTGTCTCTCGTTTTTGTTTTGTTTTGTCTGATCAACCCAGCTACTCCTTTCAAAACCAAACTTCTTTATGACTCAAATATGCCAACTTCACCATGGCTGGTCTTTGTAATCAAACTGTAGAATACAGTACAGTATAAGGTTTTTAAACCATGCAGGATAGAATAAAATTTGACTGCAAGATTCCAGACAATCTAGCTACATTGGGTGTTGGTTTTTGATCTTACAGTCTTAGATCTGTTTGGTAATATTGTGGTTTTAAAGTGAAATTTCCGAATAATAGTGTCAGCAGACTGAATATTACAGCAATAATCTACTTCAGACACGAAGTAAAACATGAACTCTTCCTTTGGCACATTTATTCCATTCTCTGTTATGTTCTTGACCCCATCCTCGGTTAATAATAATCCAATTTTCTCTACCCTAGCCATGTATTTAATAGAGGGAGGGGGGAAAAGAGAAACACCAGGGAATTAGCTAGCAGACCATGTTTATCACCAACTTCCCCTCATGAAAAAGTAGGGAGAAAGAAAGAAAGAAAGAAAGAAAGAAAGAAAGAAAGAAAGAAAGAAAGAAAGAAAGAAAGAAAGAAAGAAAGAAAGAAAGAAAGAAAGAAAGAAAAGAAAAGAAAAGAAAAGAAAAGAAAAGAAAAGAAAAGAAAGAAAGAAGACTGCTTAATTCCCTAGGGATTATTTGAAGAATTAAACCATTATAATCTTAACAACAAGGAGGATTGTTCATAGCTAAAAGGTCCTGAAGCTTACCCAACACAGGTAAAACCAGTGAAAATGAAATAGATTGCTGCCATCATATTTAACAGGCAATTAGCAGCACACATTTTTGGATTAGCATTAAAAATACAGGGAGCTGGCTTCAGACCATGTGTTTCCCACCTACCTCCAAAACCCTTTCACTTTGTTATCTGAATGTATTTCTCAAGTGCAAAGTGGCACATCCAAAGCTTTTTTAACAAGACTGCATTGGTGGAAAAAAAAAGGCTTAGGCTTGTCTTCTCCAACTTGGTAACTCCGTGCTGTCTTGGATTACAAACTGTTATTGCCAGATAGGATGGCTCCAAGCCAGTTGCAGTAGCAGTGATGCCACTTGTGATCGGGGGGCGGGGAGAGAAGAGGGATTACTTAAGAGCACCATTCCTGCAACAGTGCTGAAACTGTGTTGCTATGATGGCAATGAGGTTTAATTTTTCTTCCAGCAATGTGTGCATCTGTGCAGAGTGCGCATATGCATGCACACAAATGCAAACATGAAGCTCAGAAAAGTAATATAGCTGGTAGACACTAGGAGCTGAAGCTCAATAATGTGACTGTTGTGGCTTTGTCAATACGCACCAAGATACGTGTGCAGTTATTATTATTATTAGTTTTATTTATTTGACACATTTCTTGCAACAAGGGACCCCTTGGGCTCGAAGGGAAAAAAAAAGCTTCCTGTGTTCCAATAGTATTCGACTGCTCTTATCTCAGCCTCATTTCCAAGACTGCTCAAAAGCTATAACGGAACAATGCACACAGGGATTATATACACATACCCACGGCGCTTAGCACCGTGCACCATAGGCATGTATGGTCATGGTGAACAGACTTTCCTATACTTCATCTGTCTTTCTTTTCCAAGAACCTTTTCTATTTTCTGGTTTTTGTGTCTTCCTTCTATTTTGTGTCTCTTGTGGGCTTCACGGGAGGTTTTGGAGAGTGATTTTGAACAAACAAACAACATTTAAGCATATGGCACCCAACGTGCTAGCTATATGTGCTCTTCTTGATTATTTCAGTTCTTTCCTTCAAGCTTCAATAGGTCAGAGCTCTTGAGTGGGAAAGAGATGCAGTTTGTCTTTACTGCACATTTAAGAATTCTAAAGCACCGTCTAGTTTCACAGGCTGTAGCTTTGAACTCATAATAAGTATGATCACATATTATAGGGCAATTAAGTTTTTATAGGGTAACACTCTTTTGGCTTTTAAATCACAGCACCAGACCCGGCTGTGGCTAAATCTAACCTTCCTTGCTGGTCTGAATACATAATGCCTTCAGTCTCTCCATTCCCTCTCCATTTCTGCTTATATCAGGATACCAAATGTTGCCAAATGTGCATCACTTAAAGCCATTATGTAGTGAGTACATATCCACCTCAACTTTACAGTAATAGGTGTGTGTCTCTGTGTGCATTAAAGAAAACTTGTTATTCCAATTCATGATAGCTTATTCTACAGTAAATGTACCTGTCTTTAATGTGTCACAGGATTTTTGGTTTACGTTCAACAGAGGACATGCATGTTTGCCTTCCCCAGGAACCTGTGAAGCTCCAATTCCAAATTCTATACCTTTACAGGGCAACCAAAATGGCACCAGAAAGGTGCAAACTTAATCATCTCTTCACCAGACAATCTGTTGAAAGTAAGCAGGGGTGGTAGGGAATTGAAAATTGAGGGCAAAGGCCTGAAGCAGTGGTTCTTAACCTTGGGTTACTCAGGTGTTTTTTAACTGCAACTCCCAGAAACCCCAGCCAGCACAGCTGGTGGCGAAGGCTTCTGGGAGTTGCAGTCCAAAAGCACCTGAGTAACCCAAGGTTGAGAACCACTGGCCTAAAGCATCTCCTGTCTGCATGTTGCTTCAGGAGAGCAGGGGTGCTGTGGAGACAAAGAAATGGGTCTCATCAAGTGATACAGTGGATATCCCCACTGACAGGTGGAGAGCTAGAAACTTTAGGTCACTCATCCTAGACAGTGTAGCTCAAAGCTGTGTCCACCCTTTCCACATGAGCTCCATGGTTGTTGGAAAGAGAGCCACCAAGCAGTTTTCCCATTCTCCATCTTGCATGGGGTAAGGAAGCAATAATGTTCTGGAAACCATGTGCCTTTTTTCCCCTGCTTTTGCACATGTTTGAAATTTGCTTTGTGCCAACCCAATCACACCTGGGACGTGGTGGCGCCGTGGGCTAAACTGCAGAAGCCTGTGCTGCAGGGTCAGAAGACCAAGCAGTCGTAAGATCGAATCCACGCGACGGAGTGAGCGCCCGTTGCTTGTCCCAGCTCCCGCCAACCTAGCGGTTCTAAAGCATGCAAATGCAAGTCAATAAATAGGGACCACCTCGGTGGGAAGATAACAGCGTTCCGTGTCCAAGTCGCACTGGCCACGTGACCGCGGAAGCATGTCTTCGGACAAAACGCTGGCTCTATGGCTTGGAAACGGGGATGAGCACCGCCCCCTAGAGACGAACACGACTGGACAAAAATTGTCAAGGGGAACCTTTACCTTTACCTTTCTCTTTTCCCGTAGCCTTCACGGGAAGACTGAAAGGGCCAGAGCTGCTGTTGCCACTTGGACTGCTAAGGCCCTTGCCAACTTGGTCTAGGTACAATTCCTATGTGTTTGTGTTGGACGTGTGGACCAACATAGAGAATCCATGTACATGCAAATGAATCGATGTTCTATTCTAGTGTTTTGAAAACAGTGCATGTAGAGCTGATTCTTCTACGTTATGGATACCTAACCCAGTCGAGGAATATATCTTGGATTTTTTGTCTGAATTTTAAATTCAAAAGGACACTTGACGTTTACGATTCTACAAGCAACCTCTGTGTTGGTGTTGCCGCCGGGGACTTGGGTGCACAAAACTGGTTGTTATCATGATTGCTCATGTTGTCTGTTATATAACTGTGAATAAGAAAAGTCTCATTTTGTAAAATTTGTGTTTGCAAGGTTCATCAATAGATCATCTAAAGTAAGCAAACAGCCCCACAGAAGTTTGAAATTGTTACAAAGAACGCCACAACCGTTTCCATCCTCTTTCCAAATGTGGCCCACACTACTCTGAGTGGTGGGACTGATTTTCTCACAGAGGTTGTCAGGTTCTGGGATCAGCTCCTGCTTCAGTGTATCAGAACCGAATGTGTTTTATGGCAAGAGCATTAATTATAACTTGGATCCTTAAGCATGCCTTTTCTTTTGCAGCTGAGTTCAAGGAAGGATACTGCGGAGGAGGCAGTGCTGTTCCCTTAGTAGCAGGTACATGCAGTGAAGTATGTTGGGATTAAGGGCATTGTTAGAGAACATCACGTTACCTACTGGATTTGTGCCTTCCTGTAGCCATGGAGAGAGTTCCTCTGACTAAAAGGACTCCCATGTGCAATTAACTAAAATATAGGAATTGTTGTGAGAGCATGAAACTATATAGAATAACATTCACCCACAGTTTAAAATGGAAATGTAGCCTTCAGTGTGCCTTGTAGCAGCGTAAGAGAGTGACTACATTAGCAAATAATGTGGGAAATGCTCTGAGACTGGGACGGTCTGACTCACATCACTTCCTATTGACTACATGATGCAAAAAGTCCACATGAATCAGCCTGAGATTCCTTCCCCGAATCCACACATTTTGCCTCCACTGCTGGTGGTTCTACTTTTTCTCCAACTGAATGCCTTTGCATCGGTTCAGGCACTGCGATCACTACTGTGCAACACACTCCCACTTTCTGGTGGTATACGCTTGCCATTTCAGTCTTAAAACTCACTCATAAGCCTTGGGCAAGTCACTCTCACTTGCTCTAACTGGAAACTGAACAAGCAAAAAGCAAGGTGAAACGTGCTGCATTATCACTGCATAGTGGTTAAAGCACATTTCTCCATTAGTCCTTCTCCGAAGCCTTGTTCATGGGCTGTGAGTAGATACGTATGAAAGGTTATATGGGTGGTGGAAACATGGGGATGGACAAAAGCACCACCTTCCATGTTCCGATCCCACCCTGAAGTAAGGCAGACCTTTGAATGTTCAATATGAAGCTCTGAAGAGGTATTTGAAACTGCATTCAGCTGAACAAGTGGCTCTACAGACCTCTGTCCTTGACACACAAAGATATGCCTTACTTCTGGGTGGGTGATCATCAGAACCCTTCATGTTTTTAGACACAACATTTGAATAGAAGTATTGAGTCTCTACAAGTGAAGCAGGCAGCAACTGGCAGAGATCTTCTTTGGGAGGCTGTCCCATAGATCCAGCACTCTTGCTGGAAAGATTGGTTCGGCATCTACTTTCATACATTCAGAATCAAGAACTTTTAACATTAAAGAATCGAGAGATCTTTTTACTTGCCCAAGGGTTTTCCCCTCAAAACAATGTTTTTGATCTGATCTCACAACAATTCCTATATTTTATTTTTCACTTGAGCATTATGCTATTATTTGCTGCTGCGCCTATTTTCTTTTGAAGTTTGGAGTCTTTCGAGACTGAAGGATGCCTACCAATCAAGTTACCATACAACGGAAAATTAAGTTGTAGATATGCTGAAAGAATGAAGGAGTAAATAAACAAATAAAGCTGAAAACACTTCGGCTTTTATTTGATGTTTAATCAAGTTACCAGCGGAAAGTTAAGTTGTAGATATGCTGAAAGAATGAACGAGTAAATAAACAAATAAAGCTGAAAACACTTCTCTGAGCTTCTGGGAGGGCACATATAGAATAATAAGGCATTACATTCCAACTCTGGCAGTACCTCTGACAGCCAGACCAAGAAAATCCCACATCTTTCTATGTTGATATAGAACTAGTTTTAAGACTTGCACGAAGAGCTGAATAGTAACATTCTCAGATGGAACACTGGCGTGAGTGTGTAATTCCTGGGATCAAACCAAATTGATGAGAACATCTAGTATGCCCTTCATGCATTGTTGGTAGGTCTGAGGCAAGAGACTTCGGTATTCAACTGTATAGTACTGGGGCTTCAACACAGATCTTACAAATAATAGGCAGGAACAAGGAGGGGAGGAGAAACCTCACCCCAAATGGAGAGGTCAAGTTCGGCCCCCCCCATTTTTGATCAGCTACTATCCCTGCAATTGATCGCTTTCACCTCTTTCTCCAGCCTATTAACAATGTATTCAAGTCACTAACAGTGTCATTATTGTTCAGAAACAAGACTAGCAGAAACGTGAGAAGGCTAAATGATGACCTCTCATCTGGTTTGCCAGGAATGTAAGTGGCATGATGGCTCATCTCCACTTTTAGAATAGAATATAATGAACTATTTAAAACAAGAGTGACTTTTTTTTCCCTAGGGCAGAAATACCAAGATTGGACCTGTAATTCCAAAATCACAAGGAACTGGTAATAAATGAAGGATCAAGGAAATGGAAGTGAGAAAATAATATAACAATACGGAATGTGCAGGAAAGACCTGAAGATAAAGAACTGCGGTTCATTATTTTGGATTGAACCGGATCATCTCCTTCCCTGAGTTTTCAAAATGAGGATGCCAGGGCTGATTTTCATTCCAGTTAAAATTCCAGTCTCTTGGGATTTATGAACATCTGAGAGACCTCCTTGTTAAGCCATCGACAACAGACAGGTGAAAGTGATCCAAAGCATTGTATGGAACAAAGAGGAAATCCAGAACAGAAAAATGGCAAATTGAAATGTTATCAGACCTGTCCTGTTTTATATTCAAGGGAAGGATATTAGCTACAGCTGGAGCTTTCCATTTAAACTACTATTTTTTAAAAAACATAGTGTGCATTCCTAAGGAAGAGAAAATCTTTCTGGAACTGCTTAGGGACCCTGATGTTCTAGATGGGCCAAATACTGAAGTACATATGTCTTCTTAATTATATAGCTATAAAAAGAAAGGTCTTTGATTATTATATTATAAGCTCCTGAAAAATCTCCCCCATGAGGCTCTTTTATAACAATTACAGAAGAAGAAAACCACAACACCACTGTCTGTACATGCAGGTTCCAGGTTACGTCAGCAGCTACAATTTTCTCCTTTGCTCACACCTACTTGCTTGGGATTACGACCTGCAGCATTAACTATCAGCTAGTTACCATGCATTCCATGGAGCCAAAACATACAGCTTTCTAGCAACCAACTGCTATTCACACAAAAAATGCAGCTTCTAACACATGCTCTACACCACTGGATTTAGAAGGTACATAACACTGGCATATGGATGCAGCCAGAAATGGTGTCTAATCTCTATTTTGAACTATCAGGGGAAGGGGGAAAAGAAAACATCCACACATAGGCCAGGCCTCAGAAAATGGCAATGGTAATTATTAATAAACATGGGGGGGGGGAGAGAGAAGCAAGGATGAATTTGGCCCACACAGAGGTAAACAATGGAAATATGCTTTAGACCAGTGGTTCCCAACCTTGTGTTGCCAAGATGTTCTTGGACTAAAACTCCCAGAAACCTTCAGTGCTAGCTGTCCTGGCCAGGATTTCTGGGGGTTGTAGTTAGGGGTGGGCATGAACCACAAAGTTTGCTGGTTTGTTTCTCAGCCAAACAGCTGTCTGGCACTTCAAAACCTCACCTCCTCCTGCAGGTGCCCATTTAGAGACAACAACCTTGCTTCTCTGCCCTGCTTTCTCTGGGTGCTGCCTCTGAGTTGGGTGCCCACTGGAAGGGGTGGGGTTGGAAGCAATGAACTGACCCAGTCGTTCATGCCCATCTCTAGTTGTAGTCTTAGAACATCTGGGGACCCAAGGTTGGGAAACTACTGCTTTAGACCAATGGTCCCCAACCTTTTCGGAACTACGGACCAGTTTGGGTAGGTGGGGTTTGTACATGGGGGGGTGCATTCGCGCAGGGGTGTGGTACGTTCGTGGGTAAGCATGGCACGTTTGCAGATGGGCATGGTGCACCCGCGCGAGACCAATGGTCCCCAACCTTTTCGGAACTGTGGAGCAGTTTGGGTAGGTGGGGCTTGTACATGGGGGGTGGCCGCATTCGCACAGGGGTGTGGTACGTTCGTGGGTAAGCGTGGCACGTTTGCAGATGGGCGTGGTGCACTCGCGCACATGGGCATGGTGGGTGAGTGGGGTGTGCATGTGCGCATGCACGCCATGCCCACCGATGAGCACACCACGCCCGTCCGGGAAACGGCCCTACTCACCCATGCATGCATTTTGGGAAACCAGGCACAACCTTCCAGTCACTTCTGTTTTTCAAAAACGATGACAAATGTGGTCTGTAGAGATCTAGAGTGGGGGGTAGAGAATGGGTGTCCAAACTATCCACAGTTGTAAAAAATATCTTTGTGAAGGGAAAAGGAGGAATTTATTATCCAGATATTATGTCAAGCAATAGAAGGAAAATACCAAAGTCTGCTCATGAGGTAAATATTTGGACTCATCTGTGCTTATGCACTTAATGAATCAATATAGATTTCTACCATTTGGTGGACATCTTGCTACTATGGCAGACCTTGTCTTGTTCTTTCTGTGTTCTGTTTCCTTTCTCCCACAAAAGCCGCAATAGTAAAGGTTTAACATATTTTTTCACATTTCAAACTGTGTAAAAGACACACCCTTCTTCAAGTGCCTTAGGCCTTTCACTCTTAGCTTGTTTCCTCCTTCTTGGACGCGATTTCTCCCTCTTAACCACAAAGTCAACCACATGAAATCCAGCAACACACAGTTAGACATCAAGAAAGACAAGCAAATCTACACATACCTAAGAAACCACTTCTCTTATTTGTGGTGTGAAGCTTGAATTCTACTTTGCTCTAAAACTGCCTTCTTACACAGGTAGAAAACCTACCATCAACTTGCACACAGATCCAGTTTTTCCTTAATTCTCTCTCTCATTAGCAATATCCATATATCAATCCAAAAATATTTATACAGGAAAGCTCCAGAAGTTCCTGGATGAAGTAGCTTCAGGCCTGGTTACAGAACAGAGACAGTTTTGAATGCCTTGGAAGATGATCTACACTGGGAACTGGCCACGGAGAGTATGTGTCCATGAATTTCGATACTATTGACCATGGTATCGTTCTGGGGTGCCCTTCTGGGATGTGTTCTGGAGGCACTATCCTAACAGTTGTTCTAATCTATCCTGGATGGCTGAACACAGAAGGTGAAGTTCGAGGAATTCTGTTTGACACCCTGGCCATTGGTCTGTGGCATTCCTCAGTGCTCCGTTCTGTTCATCATGGTACTTGCTGGAATTTTACAACTTTGCATGCTGCCTGTAGTTTGTTTGGCTGAGAGGAACTTTTTTAAAATG